GAGTACGTGGATCAAGAAATATCGCTTCATTAATTTCATGAATTTTTGTTGTAGTTATAAAAGATAATAATAAAAATTGGAAGATGAGAAAAAAATAAACAATAATCTGAACGTTGATAATCATTTGATAAATATTGCGTTAAAATTTTAAGAAAAAACGAAAACAATGAATTTTTGTATTACGTAAAATCCATTTAAATCTAGCATGTTTTATTTACATCTAGGCTCATTCTAAAACAATGAAATAAGTATTCAATTCAAAGAAGAAAAAAAAAGTGATAAAAAATAAGAAAAAACTCCTTAGTATACTGAACGGACATACGAACGAACGAGCACACAAATAAACATATGTCGGGCAATTGACATTAGATTTTCATTGGTTTATTTTATCAGCAAAAAATTCTTCGAAACATAGATTATTGATTACTATCATACAACGCCATCTATCAATAGATTCATGAATTTCTCAAATATGTATAGTATGATTTGATTTTGATGATAAAATCACACTATCGGTTATTTTCAATTCATTAATAATTATCAAATTGTACTTTATTTTGTTATATTTGCTGTTAATGTACTTAAGTATCTTGTTTTTCCGATGTTAGTTATTTTTGTTAGATGATTAATACATAAATCATCACTATTGTCTTTGATACAATTGATATGTTGTTAAATCCCTTTTGTTTTATCTAACTATCCCATTACTAGGTCAACTCTGCATGTTTTCTCTCTCTCATAGCTTTCATATCAGCTACGAACAAACATACACGTACAGTATATAAGATAGATAAGCCTAAGGTGGCAGTAGGTATGGGATTTAGTTTATTCTATCTCAATTTTCTTAGGACGAGACTCAATATTAATGATTCTGAAGATAGACAACAAACTTCATATGTCTTCTGTATTTGATCGATGTTTTCGTGATTCGTTACAAACTGTGATTTGTTGTTCATGCATGAATTCAAAAGGAAACAAACCGTAAGTTGTAGTAAGTCAATCCTTTTCGCATTTGTTTCGATTTGACAAGTAACATTAACCAAAAACAAAAGGAAATTTATTCTTTTTCTTCATGTTTGTTTTTTTTTCTAAATTTACGAATATATTTCTTTTCGAAATATCTCATCAAATATCATAGCATTCAAAGAAAATTATATAATGGACTATTTGATCTGTCATCATATAGTATTTTGTTTAACTATCAACACCAGACATATTACAATTATTATCACTTTATTAGTATTTGTTCAATTTTGGAATTTCTAAAAATAGAATGTTATTTCTTTGAACATGCTTTTCGAATCGAACAATTCATTATTCATATTATTTCTTGTGAAAACTAGACTTCTTAAATTCTTTTTTTTTATGAGTGATAAAACTTCAAAACTCTTTACGTAATCACAAAAAAAAACAGGTTATGTGCTAAAATCTGAGAGACAGATTTTTTTTGTTTTATTCAAGAATTGAAAATGTTCGAAAATACGTGTTAAAATGTAAAGGTTTCAATACCTTCAGTTTATCCGCATTGAGCATAAAGTTCTATTATTAATATAAAAATATTTTCGAACAAGAGTCGATGTCTATATTTAAACTATGATGCTAATCTAACTCTTTAGATTAGACTCAATATTGTCTTTTATGCTCTTTATGGATTGATATTGTAGGTCAATAATATACATATATATATATCCACATATATGTCTGTAATGCTTTTATCTATTGTCGTTGACTGTAATTCTTGCAGATAATGTTTGACGTATACAAGAAAAGAAGAACTTGATTTATAGTCTAAATCAGCATTTCGATATCCTATTTCTTACTAATACTAAGGAATCTTGTATATATATTAAAAACTAATATGTTCCATGGTAGTATTGAATGTTTATGCTTCGAGCATTTGACATACTCAACAGATAAACATTACTATTTAACTTCCGATTATATATGTAATGAACTTTTCTGTTAAATACTTATTTATTCTGTCTGTGTTATATGATCTCTTATATTTTGTTTAATGATTATGATGATAGACAAGTGAACATAATAGGATGCTATTAACATCTGTAAAGCGAAAGATTCTTCATATATATATATATATATGTATGTATATCATCGGTGAACAGAACTTCTTATATGATTTGAATTAAAAAATACTTATGTTTTACTCGATTAAAAATACTAATTCTTCTTCATCGTTTTCTTTTTGTATCTTGTTGATATTCGATCTTTTTATTATAGATCAATAAAGAACAAATAACCTTTTTCAGTGTAGATTTTCCTCGACTTTTTTAAATTTGTGATATAAATAACTAAATCGATTATTAAGTGTTTTTTTTTCTGGCCTGATTCATTTCAATAGATATCACATATGACCTATGAAAAAAAGAATCAAGAATATTTCTTTTCATATAGATTCCAAATACGTAATAAATATAAAATAAATTTTAAAATAAATACATATATTCTATATTAGTTAAAGTAAATATATAAGAAAATATCTAATTAAAACTCGAAATAATTAATATTGTCGCGGTAAGATACGCCATTATGTCGACCCAAAAAAAGAGAAAAAAAAAACCGAGAGAAGAAAAGCAAAAGACAAAAATTGTACGAAAAAAGAAAGAGAACACACTCGGTATTCTAGTTACTAGTGCCAACAAAAAATTGCAGGTTCTTCTATATACAAATACAACATCATGTTAGCTTAATAATGTGGTCGAGAACGAGCATAGCACAAAGGAGACGGAGGAGGAGATACTGATAGCTTTGTCGTCCATCTTGTTCGTTACTTAAAGAAGAAAGAATATGCCAGAATACTGCATAAAAAAAAAAACAAACAGGAAAAGATGCTACGCTTCTTGCTCGCGCATATTGATAATCTGTACAGAAATCTAAAAGCGAGAGAGAATAAATATATCGTTGTTACAAATACGAATGAGATTGCTATAACCAGAAGTATAGAAGAATGATGACGACGGTTAACTATGCCACATGTTGACTGCAGTCTCTTTCTAGCCAAAAAAAAGTAAATTAAGTAGGATATCGATGATATCCAGCTAAGATTGTTTTCTTTTGCATTAACCGTTCGTTTGTCTTCCTCTTTTTATTCTTTTTCTTGTTTATCTTATTGTGCTTTCACTTTAGAAGAAGAAATAGGTCTAGTTAGAGGACTAAGAAATTCTCATTTTTTTTTTTGTTTTGTTTTCTATTTTCTAATTATTTAGTATTAATTATTTTTGCTTGAAAACGATTCATATTGTGTAGTAATTTGATACATTAAATCGTCGTTTTTCTTTTTTTTTCGTTTTCTATCAAGTTTTACTGCCATTATCGATATCGTCATACAAATATAAAAAACAATGAGGTAAGTCAAAAATGAAAAATGGATCAGAAGGAAAAATAAATATAGAAGTTTTCGTTTTTGAAACTAATTAGTATATGAAGTCCAAAAGAAACCACATTAAGTTTCATATGTCAATGAGTGCGGGATACTCAACACCACAGACTACAACAATACCGATAACATTTAATTATTACTTGTTTGGCAGCAATGACGATAGGCAATATATATATTTAAAGGAACAAAAGAGTAAGATAGATAGTATTGCTTTTTATACACTCTCATGTAACTACATTAACAAAAACTAATAACCTATTAACTAAGTATTCGTGGAAAGTTAATGAGTACAATTAGAAACATAATCTAATATAATGCAAAAAATAAATAAATTTCTATTAACAAATGATTTTCTGTTTAATATTTAGTACATGTGGAAGATGTCAAAAATCATTTCCAGCTGGATCTCGTGAGTTTTTTCCCCAGCGTATTTTCTCTATTAAAGTTTATTCTTAATTTTCAATAGGTATTACTGAATTCGACGGCAAACAATATCATGTATATTTTCTAAAAAAAAAAAAAGAAACCAAAAAATGAAGATTTTTTCTATTTTATTTATTTATTTATTTTTATTGTAGCCTGAATGTTTCTCTTGTGCTGATTGTAAAAAAGCAATAACATCACAATTTTATCCATTCAATAATGAATATTTATGTTCGGCATGTCATGAAGCACGTTTTCCACGTAAACGTTGTGGTAAATGTGGTTCATTGATAACTTCGGCTGGTATAACATTTGCTGGTGCATCATACCATGCAGCTTGTTTCTTGTGTATGTATTAGTTAAAACAAAGTTAATTGATCGTAATTGAAACTATAGAAAATATTATTTTTTCTTTGATATAATAATATTTTTTTTTCTCTTAAGAATAATAATAATAATAGTAATATGTAGAATAAAATATTGTTGTTCTAGGTGTAACATGTAAACAACCTATATCGGCTCAATCGAAAATTTCAATGGTAGATGGTCAACCATGTTGTGTTAAATGTTATGAAGACAAACATGCTAAAAGATGTAGTCGTTGCCAAAAAGCTATTGTTGCTGATGTTGAATATCTTGAATTTGAAGATAAATATTGGCATAAAGAATGTTTTACATGTTCAAAATGCCAGGTAAAAAAGAAATTCTTGTTTTGTATTTATTGTTTTTAAATATATTTTCTAATTTAATGCATTTATTCTTCTAGAAATGTATTGCTGAAGAAAGTTTTTATCAAGATGGAAATTTAATTTTATGCAAAGATTGCATTTAATTAAAAAGAAAAACAAAACATTTTATATAAACAATAGATCATTTTCGTTTTGATAAGCACGATGTTTTATGTGTGTTGCTTTTAAAATTCTGTTGCTAAAACTACTGCTTCTTTCTTTCTTTCTTTTCTAGTGCTACCAATTGCCTTTCTTGCTCATCCCCGGCTATATATTTCTATTTTGACAATTTTATTATGCCTTATGAGAAGTTTTTTTTCTTTTCTTCTTTAACAAACAAAACAGTACAAAAATGAGCTAATAAGACTACGTTAAAGAATAAAACAAATGAGAAAAAAAAAAAAACATTGTTCTTCTTTATTTTTTAATATTTGACAAATTTTAATAGAAGATCAAAACTCGTCTTTTTCATGATGATATTTTATTTCGATAGGTGGTTCTTCATGTAAATAAGTTTGATAGACTTCTTCAACATTAATACCTTCAAATTTATGAAAACTAATAGATTTTTCATGCTCAAGCCAATCTTTTGAATAAGCATTTGGTTGTGCTTGATGTAATTCAGGTATATGTGTTAGTGGTATATTGATATGTTTTAAACATAAACCTAAAAACATATCATCTGGTGTATCAGGTAATGGACATTCACAATTTGATATAATCTGTTGTACTGCTTGTCGATTAAAAATCATACCGGATCCACCAGTTGGATAAACATAATACTCTCCATAACCATATCGTTCGCCAAGTACAATAGGAACATCATTTGATAACATAAAACATCGAATAACACGAAGAATTCTTTGCACTGATATAAGTGTATCATCATCAACAATAATTAAATATTGAAAATTTTCTTTATTTTTATAGAAATAATGTAAAATTGAAAAAGTTTTATGACAATGACCACGTTCTGTATTTTCTTTTAAGATAATAAATCGTTCATTTTTATTATCAGTTGTTTCATTAATTTTATTGGTAAATAAATTATAATTAAGTTTATCATTTAACCAAGTTTTTTTTAATAAATCAATACGTGTTTTATGAAAATCAATAAAAGTTTTTATACCAATATATAAGTCATCTAATTGAATATCTGTTCGTTGACATGAATAGTCATATTGTCCATCATACCATGTTAAACAATTAGGTTTATTATGATTGCAGAAAAGATCAGATCGATCTAGTAATTTAATACTTGTTAATTCATTTATTAATTGATTCAATTCATATTTAACATCAATAATAAAATCAATTTTTTTTGTATAGGATTCTAAACGATTTGTAAATAATGATAAAACATGTCGTGATATTAAAAAACCAGATGATAAATCTGGATATGGATTATCCAATGAAAATGAAAAATGATGAATTATACTTGGTTCCGAATCATATAAACCATGACCAATATAAAAATCATTCGATTTTTCAGCATATTTAATAAGTTCAGGTAGATTAATACGTGTTTGAGGTTCACATATAAAAAGCCATTTTAATTGTGGATATTGATGAATAATTGATGAAAATATTGGATAGATTGCATACCAATTTGATATTGATGATATATATGAATGTGTATAAAGAATTGGAATTTGTGCCGGAATAAATGTTGATGCATTATGAACTTGACTTAGAATATATATATGAGGTTGACTATTTATAAGAATAATAAATTCATTAGTGATTTGATTAGTTAAAGAAGAAGAAGAAAGAAAAAAAATTGCAAATAAGAAAAGAATATTTAAATATTTCATAATATTTATCTAAAACATAAAGAACAAGGCGCCTATAGATTTGCAATTAATTGTTCATTATATCAACGAATAATGACGAAAAGTATATATGATCGACAATTAGATATAAATTTATTTAAACGTTTACATCCAACAAATTTTGCTCTTGTACCAAAACGTTCTTTAAGCATTTTAGGACCAGGTTCATATAATCCAATAACTATTGATGAAATTTATCGTCAAAAATCATGTAGTAAATATGGACCTTATTATCAACAATCAAATAGATTTCCATCAATAAATCGTAAATCGAAACATTTATGTTATATTCAAGTATAAAGATTCTTTTTTTGTTAACATAATTGTAAATTATTAATGAAATTTAGCCATTAATATATGGTTTATCTAATATTCCCGATGAATTAAGAAGAAAAAATGAATTTAAAAGGCGTTATAATGCTATACGACTTGATCGACAAAGTAATGATATATGTCGTAAACGAAGAGAACTCGCACCTCGTGCTCCACCTGTTACTTTATATGAAAAGTCAAGTTTTGTTGATGAACTTAAACGTAAACAAACAGGAAAGTACTATTAGGTATATTTTTAAAATCAAACACAATTCATCATTCTTTCAGATAAAAGGATTTTAGGTGTAATGATCTATATAAAAATCAATAGGAAAGATTGTAAAACTATTTACTAATATCAGAACATAATACATTTCTTAAAAACTAGGTCAGAATAATAGTAGACTTCAAATCTACTAAAATATAGTTCTATACTTTGTTTTAGCAAATGTAATATAAACTGATGAGCATATACTTCATTTAAACTATTAATTTTTATATTAATCATTGCCTCTCGATTTTAACTCTCTAATAAAGCAATCTCAAATTATTTCATAATTAATTTTGATTATGTCATTGAAAAATCTCATCAGAAATATGTAATATGATGTGAAATATTTTTACAAGATAAGAGTTCTTCGGTAGCTACATTTTTACAAGGTCTCATTTCTCTTTTTCTTTTTACATATTACACATCGGAAAGTTTATCCTTATAGATTATTTATTAATATAATAATCTTTTTCAGGAATCTATGGACCTTATGTTAAACTAGCACAAGATTATTACAGAAAAATACCAGATTGGTACAAAGGACCAGCCCGACTTCAAATCAAATCACCTCCATCTATTCTTGAATCTCTTTTTTCAAAATCTAATTGTCATAAAGGCAAATTTTTACCAATTCCTTCTAATCTCAATGCAAATGAAAATCAAATAAAAACTTCGCCTGGACCAACTACCTATTTTAAAGATACATTTTCTCAACGGCAACCTTCAAAAATAAATCAAGAAAAAACTTCATTACTTGGTTTTCTTTCATCAACAGAACGATTTCATAAAACAAAACTTTCAATCTCACATCTAGGTCCAGCTTCATATAAACCTGAGGCTTGTATTCGATTATGTTCAAACAAAACGAAAAAACAAAGAAATAAATAGAAAGTATTAATTTTACTTGCTTACTCATATTTGTAAATAGATTCGAAAAAAAGAAAAAAAAAAGTGAAATGATTGTCAAAAGAAATTAAATAAATAAAAAGAAAAGAACAAAAAAAAAAGAGACAATCTAATGTACACTTGTTTTGCTTGCATTCAAATATGTTTCTTCATACTGTGTTGGTAGAAACCAATTTTCGACTAGAACATGTGAATCGTCATATTTAATCTTTGTATTTAATAATTTTCCATGATATTTATTTAATAATAATTGTGCAAATTCATCTCGTGACATTATATCACGTGTCGTAGGTATATAAAAAAAATCATCACAATAACTAACAATCAAATTCATCTTTTTAGCTTGTTTACTAAGTACGAAACGTTGTAACTGATCAAATGGTTGACATGATATAAGTTTTTCATTAAAAGGAAAAGATAATTGACATAAAATATTTTTTGGATCATTGAATGAAGAAATAATACTTAAATATTTGTCTCCAATAGGTTGAATATGAAAAAAAGTAATTAATTTTAACGGGCCAATTAATTTTAATATTGTTTTATTTTGATTTAAATTTGAAATTAAAGTAAATCTAAAACCTTGATGATAATCTTGATTTTTTTCATTTGTTTTATTTAAATAATTTTCAATTTCATTTACAAATCGATCTAATTGATAAAATTTTGCTTCATATAAAAGTTGTTTTAATTCATTAAAATTTTCTGGTAAAATAAGTTTTTTCTCACGAAAATAATTTAATATATAACAAAAATATTTTCCATCACGATCAATAAAATATTGACCATTATGATTTACTTGAATATTTGTTTGATTTTTTATAATTAAAGATAAATATGATTGAGAATCAACATTGTCATTGATGGTTGAACGTTTTGTTGAATAAATGCAGCCTCCAATATTAAATGTAATAATATCATCATCATCGTCATTTAAAATATTTTTATTCGATGATGTAGATAAATATTGAGACGCTGTCATCCTACAAATATTAGCATATAAGAGTGAAGAAGAATAACAAGTAGTGTTCTGTTTTTTTTTTCTTTTTCTTCTTTTTTTTCCGCTGGCATTGCGAAAAGCCCGCTGGTAGCAATTAGAAAAGGCCTTTGTCTTCCTTCTTTTTTTTCCTGCTCTCCTGAAAATCCGTCTATTCCTATCGATCAATAATTATCAGAATAGTAGAGCACAAAAAAAAAGAAAACCACAAATATCAACCAAATCTCTGCTTTTCAATGATAAAAGAAAAAAAAATTTATTACATCATAAGATTGATAGAATAATCTAGAATATGTCGTTCGTTCATTCGGTTTTTTTTTTTTGTTTCCTATTTCCTTATTGATGTAAATGATCAAATGATGAAATATAGTTTAGAAACATTCGATTCAAATAAGACAATACATAACTTGCATAATCTTTCAACCGGCAACGACTTGATCAAATTACGCGAAAGACAAGTGAATCGTAAATGATGTTCAACTGTATAAATACATTGATTGACTTTTATTACTCGATCCTCTTTCGCTCAACATATTCTTGACAAAGCCTGACAATCGTCAAAATACAAGAACAAAAAGAAAGCATTGTATACATATAAAACTGTTCATCCGATATAAACAAAGGCTTACTAATTAGTTCAATGAAAAGTTGAAATAGGAAAGAACGAATAGCCTTGAAATTATTGTTACTCTCTTAATGCCGTCGCTACTTCCAGAATAATATACATACAAGGTCGTGTCATACATGCTCATCGTTGTATGGAAAAGAAAAGGAAATAGCAAGAGTTTTCTTGATATTCTTGAGAATATGAGACGCGACAAATGGAATTAACAGATGGTGAAACAGGAGATAGATAATCAATGAAAAACTTCTGAGTGTCGTCTAACAAGGACATGAACAATTACAGAAAAGAGATGTCCTTAATGGAAGTGATGTCGTAATCGAAGACAATTTATTATTGTTTCACTATTCTATATTTTTGTATATGTTGTCAAAGTAAATATCAGAAACATCTTTATCAAACAAGATATATACGTATATAATTTCTTGCTCATCTTACTTGCGTCCTTTCTCAGTATAATAAATTTAACTAAATCAATGATTGACGTTTCATTTTATATCCTAATAAATTTGATCTGATTTATTATACAGCATTTCGGTTTCTTTTTTGTTTGTCATTGATGTCGCCAACAATTATATCTTTCGTTATATATATCTAATAGAGGTCAAGGTATCGTAATCTTCGTCAGTCTATACATCCTTGTGCTTCATCATCATCACCATCATCATCAAGGTACAATATAACATACATCATCAATATGCAAAACCATACATTTTTTTATGACAATCAGCAATAAAACAAACAAGGACAAATAAATATATATTTAAAACTGACAGAAAAGGAAAAAAAGGAATTTATTTATCTCTGTACAAAAATAACAAGAAGAAACATGCTTAATGAGTTCTTTTTAAATATATATATTTGTGCAAATATATCATAGAATAATTATAGATATATTTATATAATAACACTCACTAGAGAAAGATTGATCATTTTTAATGACTTGTTTTTTTTTAATAGTCTTCATCTAAAAATAAAAAAATTTCTTTTTACCATATAATTTATTAAATAATATGTACCTAGAATCTTAATTGCCCATTGAGGGTATTTCTTTTTAAGAATTTCTACCGTTTTTACATGATCAGCTTGACCAAATTCCTAATCAAAAACAAAAATTATTAAATAAAAATATTTCTTCATTCAATTACTAACCGGTGAATAACCATAAATTGAAATTGATCTTGTTCCAGGATCAACTTGTAGTCGACCACCACCTTTACAATCTAATGTTAAACTTTTTTCATCTATTTCACTCTGAATTTTTTGCAACACATCAGCTAAATATAATATATACAATTAAAAATACATTTCATTTTCTTTTATTCTTACCATGATAAACACAAGAAGCATCACCACGAACAACAAATTTTGATTGACCATAAGTTGTACCATGATTTCGAACTTCAATTAATAAGTATTTACAGCAACCAGCTTCCGCAATATCGACATCGGGAACATGAGAAATATTTTCGATTTTACCCATTGATGTATTTATCCAAAATGGATGAAGAATATATTTTTCTTGTAAACGTTTAGCATGTTGTAAAAGATCAGCACTATTTCGACGTAAACTTAAACGTCCTGATGTTGATGCTGACATCGTACTGACTATATATATATCTATCAAAGTTTTTCTTTTCGGTTTTTTTTTTTGTAACGTAAAAATGAAATTTCTTCCTATTTATATATGTCTAGCTGCTTCTTGTAAAGTCTTTTTATAGAATCAAGTTAGAATGAATTTAATAAAACGAAAAAAATCAGTTATCTAATCAAACGCCTACCAAAAAACATGGGATAAAATGCACACACCTCATTTTTTTTTCTTCTAACGAACCTGACTTCAATAAAGAGAAAAATATTGCCTTTTTCGAACCAAGCAACAAAAAATATGTCTCGTTAGAAAAAAAAATAACCATAACAAGTCTGATTCGGTGTGCGTAAACATATATATACAGACATGTATTTATATGAAATACATTCTACTATTAATAGCACATCGAGATGTATATATGTGTACATCATTGCAATAATTGACATCATAGGTAATTTCATCGTATATTTTTCCTTTTCTACGAGCATGGTTATCTGATTCTGTTCGAATTTAATGATGTGTTTCCAATGTATAAATCATATACTAATTGGAGCAATTTTGAATAAAAATGTATTTTGAATATTGGTTTTTTTTTTATTTTTCATATACGAAAAATAGCACATGATAATTTACGCAAATTACCTAGTCATAAATTGTGATAGAGTATTGCACCTGCCTTTTTTTTTTGAATCAATAAAAAACGCAATGACCCTTTTGAATGTTCGTAAACGCTCCATTATATCTAGTCAATAAAATAAAACAAGGCATTGTGTAACTTACCCGTTTTGTTTTAATCTTAGTAGAGAATGTAATACATATTCAATTTTTATTAAAAAAAAGAGAAGAAAAGAGTATATGCATTATCTAGAAGAATGTGCTGAAATATCTTCCACTTAACAACTGAGTCATATGATGATTTGCAGGGCATGTCGATGGTAGAATTCTATAAATAGTTTAATTTTTTTGTGGGAAGATGTACCTTTGCAATTAAATGCATAGTCTTTCGAATTATTAATACAAGAAAACTGTCCCATATTAGTGATAAAATCATTGTCATTGCACAACATATTTAAAACATTGTTTTTTTTTAATTTATTGTTAAAGAATGTGATTATAAAATTATATCTAATCTGAAATGAATAGACAAAATTCACTTTGTCCATCTAATTATCATTTCAAATCTTTTTCATATTGTTTTTCTTAGTCAATATGAGACAATTGAAAAATACATTAAAAAACAAAACAACATAAATATATTAAGTAAGTGCATCAACAAGTGAATCTTTAATTGTTTTATTAGTTGTTATACCAGTCGTATTATGTTGTCCTAATTTAAATACACTTTCAATAACACTTATTTCATGTGCTGTTGTTTCTAATCCACAAAAACCCATCCAATCATTAACTAAGAGTCCAGCAGCAATAACATCACTACCACGATTTATTGTTCCGGCGACAAGTGGTATTTGTAATAATGATGATAATTCTTCTTGTTCTTGTATAGATGTTTTAGGATGTACAATTCCACCTTGATTTGAAAATACAGAATAACTACCAACAAGAACACGATCAGCTATTGTTTGTCGAAAACATTCAACATTAAGTGTGTCAGTTAAAATTTGTTCAGTTTCTTTATCTAAATCTGGATGTATAAGTGCAACATAATCATTACATGCAATAACATTTCCCAATGCTGATAAACGTTCTTCACAACGTCTTAAACGTACATTATCTGGTAAAGAATTACGAATGTGTTGTAATTCTTGATCGGTTGTGGATGATGGTACAATAAGACCATGTCGATTACCAACAGTTAAACGACCAACAATACGACAGTCAGCTAAAAAACAGAATATTTTTTGTAAATTTAAGCAAAAATATAATTATCATACCGATAGATGAATGAATAACGGGTATATGATCACTAAGTTCACTTTCAAATGTTGAATAAAAATTTTCTGATCCACCAATACCGACCAAACAATAAGCATTTGTTAATCGAGCAAAAACACCAATATCATTACTACTTTCAAATTGTGTACGTACCGCCATAATAATCAAGTTAATAATTTCAATCACTCACTTATCTAGAGAGAATGAAGCCAAATACAATAAGAAAATTGCGACATATATATATTGTATTCTTAAAAAATTGCGCAAGTGTGACTCAAGGTTTTCAATACTAAGTGCAGAAAAGAAAAAACAAGAATGTTTTTCTCTTTTCTGGTTACATTATAATTCTTTCTTTGTAACATGCAATTGAATTTATTAAAACAAAAATTAGATAGAAAAAAAACCATTATATTTATTCAAACAAATAATATTATATAAAAAAAAACAAATTCTTGTAATTATTTTATATATTTTCATTCATTTATAGTCTTTGATAACTATTTTCTTGTAGTTTGTCTTGATTTTCTTAATGGTTCTTTAACAAAAGCCCAATCAACATGTAATGTTTGCCCAAGTAAATCTTGTCCATTTATATTGTCTAAAGCATTTTTAGCTTCTTTAAATGTTTCATATTCAACAAGTGCATATCCTTTAGCAAAACCAGTTCTTCGATCTAAATTTAAATGCATATTTTTAACATTGCCATATTCTCGAAATAAATCATATATTGTATCTTCTTGTGCTTCTTCATGAACATTTCGAATAAATAATATCCATCCTTCAATTGATCGTGCTGGTCCAGGATTATTTTCATTGTCATTTATAATTCTATCATAATTATCAGTTTGAATCATTGCACGATCATTTTGTTCGTTAAAACCACGACCTTTTCTATGACGTACATTTGATTTAATTTGACTTATAGATTCATTATCATCAACAATAATATCATCATTGTCATCTTGAATTTCTACTTCTATGTTACTCATGATTTTTTTTTTCGGATAGTAGTAACGAACCGATCGAATTCATAATAATGTCAAAAATCAATAAGTATATTTAGAAAAAAAAATATATTAAATTAATTTTTTTAAAATAAAAACTTTCTTGTTTTTCTATTAAAAATTATCTTCTTTTTCGAAAAGAAAAAATTTCTACTGACATCTATCTTTTATTTAATTAGTCGTAAATCATCATCAAATAAAAAATAAAACAAATCGTTTTTCCATGATCATATTGTCGTTAAGAAAATACGCAAACAGAAAAATGTCATGGCTTTCACTTATTTTGTTTTTTTATAACTCATCTTTTATACTTAGTCAATCTGTACCTTTATTACTTCTTGTTTCATTTGATGGTTTTCGTTTTGATTATCCACAATTATATGGGCCATTACGATATTTTTCTCGATTAGAAGAACAGGGTGTACATGCTCACAGCATGATACCAACCTTTACAACAGCAACATTTCCTAATCATTATACGTATGTTCATTTATTGGGTTCATTTTGTTCGAGCTTTTCTTTATTGTTTCATTGGGTTTTTTTTATTAGGCTAATAACAGGTCTTTATGAAGAAGTTCATGGATTAATTTCTGATGAAATATATGATTCAAAAACGAAAAGTCTTTTTCAATCATGGAAAAATACGACAAATGAATGGTGGCCATTAAAATCAATTTGGGCAATAAATGAAGAAAGATCTGATGCTCGATCTGGTGTAATTGGATGGCCACAACATCCGATTTTGATATCAAAATATGAACCATTTCGTAAAGAACGTTCATTTGAAGAAATTGTTGATAAAATGCTCAATTGGTTTAATCATCCTAGTGAACCAATTAATTTTGGTGCAATTTATTTTCCGGAACCTGATTTAACTGGTAAATTTCCTTCTTTATTTTTTCTAAATTTAGTTTTAAACGAAAAATTTCTTCTAGGTCATCAATTTGGACCTTATTCAGATAAAATGAAAGAAATAATAAATACATGTGATGAATATTTAGGATATCTATTAAATGAAATAGATAAAAATATGAATTTAAAAAATAATCTTCATTTAATTGTTACATCTGATCATGGAATGGAAGAAATTAATGCAACAGATAAACCAATCTATCTTGAAGATTATGTTGATATGACAAAATTAAAAGCCGTTGGAACAGAAACTCTTATGAATATTTTTCTTAATTCAAGTAAGTTACCCTTGATTGACATTTTGCTATAGAAAAAAAAAGTTCTAGCAATAATTGTATTTAGTCAGAGTTATCTAAATTGAAATGTTTTTTAAATTTTAGTGAATGATATTGATGATATTTTTAAAAATCTAAGTCAAATTTCACATACACAAATATATAAAAAACAAGATATGCCTAATCGTTATCATTATAAAAATAATTCACGTATTGGTGATATAATTATAATTGTTGATCATGGTTATGAACTTCATCGACGTTCTTCTCGTATGATTATTAATTTATTTTGTACTTTTTTTGCTTTCTATCTTAAAATAGATACGAAGATGGTGGTATCAGAGCTAATTTGAGTACAATACATGGAAATCATGGATATGATAATCAAATTAATTCAATGAAAACAATATTCTATGCAAGTGGACCACAATTAAAACAAAATTTTACATTATCTAATACAGCAATATTAAATAATGTTGATGTATTTGGATTAATGTGTTTAATACTTAATATTAAAAAATGTCCATCATCAAATGGTTCTTTAGCTAATATTCAACCGTTTTTAATTGATCCAACTAGAGTACTTAGTATTATTGAAAAAGAAACAGCAAAGCCACAAGATGGTTCAATAAGTTTAGTTATTTATTTACTTGGTTAGTAGAACTCATATCATTGTTAGAACAGTACATTCAGTGTTTTATCCAGATATTTTTGGAAGCATAGACTAGAGTCCGTCGAATTGATCCTGAACTCAGACTTAGTTGAGCGTTTTTGGGACCAAAACCTAGTTGATTGAAATTTTTAGACCTGGAACCGACCCACAAACTTCGGAAAGGGCCCATTCGATGTTCGAAGGGGCACCGTTCACATGCTCAATAAAACGCTGAACGTATTGAATTTTTTTTCCTTCGAAGAAAAAAATGCTTCTGAAATGTTTATCTAGAAATTATGTATTTCTTTTAGTACTAGTCAGTTTTGTTTTAATTCTAATAATGGCTGTTGTTTGGTCAGGTGTTTCATTTCGAAATGCATCAGCCATATCACGAGCAACACATCTTGATGCATTAACAATAGCCGAACAAAATCAATACAAATTTACGCAAATAAATGATCTCAAATTGAATCGAATAATCGGTGATGATAATCTATAACTGCAGAAATAATACCTCTTTTTCTTTTTGTTCTCTGTGATTATCACAAAATTTTTTTTGTTTTTTTTTTTGTATACTTCAAAAGAGATCTGTATATATTTTCGTGTATTATTATTATTTTTTTTCTTGTCTTGTGTATTCCATACAAATTCTCATATCTTACTTCACATGCTACTCAAAACAAAAATAAATAAAAACAGACAATCATTAATGTATACTAACAGACCTAAACTCTAATATTATTATCAAATGGAAATGTTTTTTGTTTTTCAATGATAAGATTTCATCAACAAAAATATTTTATTTTAGATGAACAAACAAAACAATCTATAATCATTTTAATATAAACATGTTTTTGTGTATTGTCTTATGTTTATTAATATCATTTATTGATTGTTCACCTATATTAAATGAAACAACTTCACCACCCCTTCTATTATTAATATCATTTGATGGATTTCGTTGGGATTATCCAGATATATATAATTTATCTAATTTTAATTCTTTACTTAAACGTGGTGTTCGTGTAAAACATATTGATAATAGCTTTGCAACAGTTACATTTCCTTCACACTTTACAATTGCAACTGGTTTATATGAAGAAACGCATGGTATTGTTGCTAATACAATATATGATCCAATATTAAAGGATGTTGCAACTGTTGTAACAATGAATGATACGAAATGGTGGTACGTATTCATTTCGAAATTTTATGAAATCTTATATTGATAATATTATTGATTTTTCGGATATTTTTTAGGTCACAAAATCCATATTCTCAACCGATTTGGATAAGTAATCAATTAGCAAATGATTCGAATCAACGAAGATCTGGTGTAATTGCTTGGCCAGGTAGTGATACACCTATTAATGGCCATCTTCCAACTAAATATGAAGCATATGAATCAGATCGCCGATTTGATTCGGTATTAAATAAAATTTTTGATTGGTTTCGTGAACCCATTGATACACGCATTAATTTTGGTGCTATTTATCATGAACAACCTGATATCACTGGTAACATTGAATATTAAAACATAAAACTATTTTGTTAATCAATAGTTGATTTTTATAGGTCATATTTATGGTCCAATATCATCTGAAATGAATAAAACATTAAAAGAATGTGATGATTATGTTGGATTACTATTAAAATTAATTGATGATGATGAATACTTAAAAATAAATCTTAATGTTATTATAACTTCTGATCATGGAATGCATGAAGTGAAGAAAAATCATAAAATTATTCTTGAACAATATATTGATAAATCATTATTTTCAGCATATGGTGGTCATTCATTTGCTAACATATTTGTTCATAACAGTAAGTTTTAAAAATTAAAAAAAAAAAAAGAAGTCTCTCTACGAAATTTAAAAATTGTCTATAATTTTCATCATCTTCTGCTTAAGAAAGAATGTTTTCTTTTATTTACACATCCTAGAATTCTTGAAGAAACTTCAATTTAGCAAATTTATTTTTGTCTCTAATTGAAAGAGTATATGAAGCTATAGTACCCGTTTTTTTAGAGTTAAAATTTTTTATCATTATATAAAAAAAAAACTACTTCTATAAATAGATGACCATTTTCTTTTTGAGAGAGTTTTCTTTCAAATAAAAAGAAACATATCTTCCGAAAACATCATGACATAGAATGGAAAATTTTAGCATAAGCTCTTTACTATAGGTCCCACATATCTTGGGAATTTCATTCGATTTGAATATACTGATTTGAATATGGATTTTTCAAGATGGGTGAAAAGTCTAAGAATCGACATATTTGTTTCGAAATTTAACATGGATGATTATATAATAATAAAAATCCTAGAAAATAACCTAAAAATTTCATAATTTAGAATCAGATATTGATCGTCTCTATGCTAATTTATCGGCCATTCCAAATTATGAGGTATACAAAAAATCTCAAATACCCAATGAATATCATTATAAATCTAATGTGCGAATTGGTGGTAAGTTATATTTTTTTTTATTATAAAAATAAAATAAATACAATTATTATTTTGCATCAAAGATATATTGATGATTGGTAAAGTTGGTTATGAAATAGTTACACCAGGTCATACACCCAATGATGCACTCGGTGATCATGGTTATGATAATCGAGCTGAATCAATGCATCCAATATTTTACGGATTTGGGCCAGCATTTCGTTGTAATCTTCTAGCTGAACCATTTCGTAGTGTTGATATTTATCCATTAATGTCTTATATACTTCATTTGAATCAACGTAAAACAAATGGTTCATTAGATAATGCCAAACATATATTAATTGATTTTTCATCGAGTAATTTGTCAAAAGTTTTAGGTAAATAAATTTAAAAGAAAAAGTCGATTTTAAATATTCTTATTGATCTTTTATTTTTAATTTAGTTGTTATTTGTATTATGTTGGTAATTGTAATGGCATTTATTTATACAATATGTGCTTGTCGTCATTGTCGACAATTAATTTATACAGAGCCAAAAAGTGTACCTGAACAATATTGTCTTTTGAGTAATGATGGATCAACGAATAATTTGGTTGTTAGTGAAAGTGAAGATGAACAAGGAATTGATTAGGATTGTTTCTCTTTTCCATTCTGATATATTTATATATAGGATGGCTCAAAACTCACTTTATCGAACAAAAACTAATCGAATATATTATCATTATAATTCAATTAGATGAGTTGATTTTTTTATTCTTGATAAAGAAATATGCACAGTTCATATTCATAAGACAAACTTTAAAACTGTTTATTGCTGAGATGAATAAAAAAAGAACCAATTCGAGTTTATCTTTCGCATTATTTCCTTATACAAATCTCAAATTTACATTACACGGTGATATCTTGTTATTTTAAATATTACTTATGGTAATGAAATTGTTTCATAACAATATTTATATATTTGACGCTGTCTTATAAATATGAACTATTAATATTGTTCTTATCAGCGATAAAAAAATCAGTTGCTTAGGTCATTATATAATGCAAATATACATATTTTTTTACTTAAAGTAAAGCGGTTTTTGAGCAATCCCAAATAGAAATATTTTATTTAATTATAATTCCAGATTTGACAATAATTCTTCTGTTTATTTGTTTTTATTTTATAAGTGACGATCTGGTTTTATTTGTTTTTTTTTCTCAATATTTCACATTCTTATAAAAATAAAATAATACAATGAAATTAAACGATGATTACAATAATGCTAAGAAAATAACACATGTAGTTAAATCTAAACCAACCTTAGTACTAATATGAATAAAACTCGTTCAAAACAATTACCAGTATTCAAAACAGGAACACAATTATCATTGCCTATGAAAAATAATCTTACCAAATTTTCTCCTAAACTTGTAACTTCTATATCACAAAACATCTAAACAAAATCAATAAATTTATCAGTACCGATTAATTCATTAAGCAATAATTACGTGATCATCTTTAATTTATTTCCAATAGAACTTGAATTCAGTAATACATGATCTTTGAACAACAGATCTTCTAAGAAACTGTAGAAGATCGGAACTACGTAAGCAACTACTTGTCACGATCTTCACGACAGGGTAAGGATGTGGGTGTTGGTCTTGTCTCCCTCTAACATCCAAGAAAAAATACTACCGATACTTTTTGCTATGTCTCAACTGTATATAAACATATATATGATCTTTCGCATGTTTGCAAAATGGAAGTCACTGATAGATGAGTTTTTTAATCAATTTTTGCCCGGATATTATTCATGGCTTTCAAAGTGTTATGTAGGAAAGACGTTAATTGTGTGAATGGTTCAACATCAATTTCTGTGAAGAAAAACTGCATCATAATATGTTTTCGATTGAAATACATTCAATATAAGCATAGCTCCAGCGATACGCGCATGTATTGAACAAGAGTTTTCTGGTTGATGCTGTGGTATTCATGAAATTTGAGCAAAATATCAATATGACTAGACTAAATTCGGATACTTTTTTAGAAGAAGCAGATAGATCAAAAAATGACAAAAGGAAATAATGAAAAAAAATAGACTGATATTTTCAAATATTTTACAAAGAATATTGTACATAGGTGTGGATATGGGTGTATGAGAGGAGGATTCTCACTTACAGCTGCAACTACATGCTTGTAGGAACTAATCTTTCCATAACTATTTTGAAAAAGCTTCTTTATATGAATCCAACATGCATCCTTTCAATTCAATCCTAATCACTTTTTGTTCGTTTACATATATTATTACAGATAAATAATAGGAGCACATATACCCTCTCATCCATTCAAAACAAGACTAATTGTTTCGAAAGTGAGTATCGACTGTTTGAAAATAATGAATGAATTGGAACAAGAACTTTTCACCATATTTGTTAAAAATTTCTGTTGCAGATTGTATTATAAAGGCTAAAACATAAATAGTCCTCGAAAAGAAATTTTGATCTGTATAAGATCATGGACGGCTTTGATCAGTGCATAATAATCCAGCAGCTTATTTTAACGGTACATACAAGGTAAAGTTCACATGTAAGCATTGTAAATTGATCCTTCTAAAATTAACAGTTTTTATCACTATCTCAAAAACCATGCCAACATCAAAGCTAATACCTGCCAAAACAAGAATTATGGTGTTCGTGTATGCCCAGACTTGTCGTTTTTGGTTTTTTATGTGCAATTAACTGCACTCGAAAAATGTTTCAACCTAATAAAATTTTTTTTTAGTAACTCAAACAATGTTCTTTTCAAAAACATTTCTTATTTCTTTACAATGATATAATTGATCGTACAAGTTTCCTACGAGCATTATCAATTTAACTGATCTGTTTTTTGAAAACTAAAACACTTCAAGTTGTGTTCAAATGTTATTGAGACTAAATCACTATTCGAGTTGAATATTGCTTAATTTTCATCTGTAAAACTTCGATCATACTTCATCTCTAAATCCAATGAAATTGACAATTTCGTTATACAAACAATCAGTTAAAAGAAGGCATCTAAACGTACTGAATTCTATCTTTTTGAAGTTTTAATTTATATTGAACAGGAAATTTATTTTTATTTTCTTGACTAGGTGTTACAGTACAAAAAAAATAAACAAAAAAAAACAAGTAAACAAAAAAAACTTGGAAACAATCACAAGTTTTGTTGACATAAGATCACAAAAAAAAATTTTTTTCGCCTTTAATGAAGTTTGTTGGGATAGAGCATCATTTCTAAAGCGACAAAAGAATTTGTAGTTCAAAATGTTTGTCAAGATCACCAATAAATTTTCAAAAAGCTAATTTTTAAACACTTTGTTCATATTTTTAGATTTCAACCGTTTGAGAATTGCTCGAGCAGTCTTCGAGTTAACTAGAAAAATAAAATTAATAGAAATTTTTCTTTTTAAATAATACATAAAAAAATAATTTTCTTGGATAAGAACACCCATTTACACCAAAGAAGGCACAATGAGTATAACACTTGAAATATGCATGTTACCAAAAACAGTTCTCTTTTAATATCTCTCATCTTAACTTATTTAACTTGCATCTTATACTTACATTTCTATTGATATTTTCGAATTTATTCATTGCCATTATTGTAACTAATTTGTATCGAGCTTCACTAAACAGGACACTTACAATATATTAATGAGAAATATGTCAGCTTACGCTTCAATCATCGAGAATTCTTCGTCATCATCTATAATAAAGCCTAATTGTACCAACTTTAAACAATCGTTGACAATCACTAGAACAAAAAAGATCAGTTCAGTTGATAGTTTCCAGAAAGAAAAAGACAAAACGGTATTCGTTAATATTCTACTAAGAGCAACGCTAGCATCTAAATAATCATTTCGTTCAATGATTCATCTTTGCGACTACATCTTTAAATTCACCAGTAGGAGTATTGTAAACCCTCAGATGCATTTAGTATACTGTTCTATTTTCAAATTCTATTACTTAAGAGATCAAGGTATACTGTAAAAAATTTAGATCAAGTTGTTCACCAGCATAGCTACTTCAGTATACATATATATGTTGCTTACTTTGATAATTCTCAAGATGAACAGAAGCTAATATACGATATTTGATACATAAGATCAAATCGCTTTTTTCTGTGTGTGGAATCTCGTTTATGACACCAGTTAACATCTAAAATATTTCAAAAAACATATACGAATTATAGTCAATGATATATACACACTTCAACAGCTTTATCAAATTTTCCACCTTGTATTGCTGCAAGATATTCAACCAATGTATATTTTGAATCACTCATCGTGTATTTGATGTAAATGGTACATTTTGTTTGAGAAAAAAGTATGATGAACATTTATATATACCATATTAATGTCCAAACAAAAGAAAAAAAAATGAATTAGCCGGCTGCGGTGATTTTTCTAGAAATAAAACGACAGAGTATAATCAAGAAAATAGTCAGGTTAAGATAAGCTATATACATTTGGACGTACGTACACACTCTGTTTTTTCATTGCATTAAAATAGTCTGTACCCATGTAGTGAAAACCGGAAGAAAACCGGCGGTTTTACCGATCCAGGTACCGGCTCCCATACAGCGGAAAACCGTTGGTTTTTTCCGGTTAACCGCGGTTTTTTTCGGTTTATCGCGATAAAACGCCGGTTTTATTCGATTTACCGGCTCCTAGCTGGTAAACCGCGGTTTACCGCTGAAAATGATCCGGTTTTTACGACATGAGTAACCACATACGTATGAATCATCGCATCGCGGTTGAGATAAGCTACATTCACACGCTAAATTCAAAAGTGTATATAAATTATCCTTGGTCGGTTGAACCAATGGAAATACATTCCAACTTTTATTCTTATCTATCCAAGTATTGTTTGATATGCGTGTATCAAAATGAACATTTCTATTCGGACTGAGTTAGAAAATTACAATTTTTTTTATACGAGAGTATATCAGGGAATGCAACAAGTACTCATTTCGAATAATCTATTATTTTTATTTGAAGTAATTAATATTGATTATCTCTAATAAAGATAAAACGAACCATTGATTCTCGATTGAAAAATACTGGACATATACTCGAGGATATCGGAATTTAGCTGTAATAATGTTAAAAAATCCTTGTTGCAATGAGAATTAAAGAAAAATTAATCATTTTATGACAAAAATTTTCATTTTCCAATCATACATTGACATTTTAATTTTGCCCCGAAATTGTTTAATGTTCAATTGAAAGCATTTCTTTCTATTGAATAAAAAACTTCTAAACAGATTAATTATTTTGAAAACTTGAACAGAAAAAATTGTCAATAGGTTTGATTAAAATATGATTGAAGTTAACCATCAATTTTAGAATGCAATAAAGCATTGGGATCAATCGTCTTCAGCGCTTGGTGCAAACATTTCTAATCGATAGATTCATTTCAAAATAATGAAATAACAGAACTTTTTTTTTCTGAGATGTGCATATTTACAAATTTTTATCTAAAGATCACACAGTGCTAAAATCAATGAGCTAGATTTATAGATTCTAAATTTTTGAGTACGAAAAGTCTTCAAACAATAATACATGCCAAAAAAGTCTTTTCAGGTGGCCATTAAAATCAATTTGGACAATAAATGAAGCAAGACATGATGCTCGATCTGGTGTCATTGGATGGCCACAACATCTGATCTTGATATCAAAATATGAACCGTTTCGTAAAGAACGTTCATTTGAAGAAATTGTTGATAAAATGCTCAATTGGTTTAATCATCCTACCGTGAGGGTTCAAAAAAGCATGGTCATTTTTATTTTTAACACATAAAAAAAAATTACAAATAAAAAAAGTTAGTTGTACTTGGTAATTATATCACCATCATTGTCGATTATTGTTTGCAATCGTTTTGGATATCCAGCTATGTGACTTTTCGCAATATTTTTGTATTTATCTGATTTCCATATTTGTGGAATTATTTCACTCATATAAATCAAAATATGATCCGAATCAACCAAATCAGTATTGATCGCAATTTCATTACTAATGTCACTTTGAAAAGTTGCAAACATAGATGAGTCTAATATAGAACAATCATGAGAATACGGAGGATAACCACCATACACCTGATGATGATATCCAGCACTTCCATATAATTCTATTCGGTTGTTGAATAAAAGATCACGAATTTTTAATGTATGATTCAAATTTACACAATCGGTCATCAAAATTTTTGAATTGGTCGCTTTCATGAATGGAATAACACAATTTCTTAAAGCATGTAAATAAGACTGTTCATGTACTGGCTCATCAATCCATGTCTTAACTTGTTTCCTAGGACGTAGTTGTGATCTTCCATGTAAATATACATCACTTCCATGTTTATTTGCAATGAACATACCATGAATAGATGGATTGGATTTTGAAAGTAATAAANAACTCAATTAAATGATTTTGATAAACAAAAAATAATTTGCTTTTTTACACTTATTTAGTTATTGGGAAGATAAAATATTGTCTGTGATAGGTCTTACTCTTAAAAAAAGAACGCCAATAGGATATCGTACCAAAATGTTGGGATACAATGACTGTATTCTCCTAAGAGTACTTCTTATGTACCATGGTCTCCCCTTTCTCACGAGATAATATATGTTCCTTTTTTGTATCTTGCATAGGAATGAGTAAAAAAAACTCATTTGTGAACGATATCTGGGACAAAAATCAAGTGAAAGCAAGATTTCTTGGCGAAACTGCGTAAAAATATGACTTTTTTTATGGACATAATAGAAGACCTCGGGTCTTCTATTGTGTCGGGGGCTTTACGTGTCGCGAAAGTATCAATTGAAGGACAAGATCCTATCTAAGGCTACAGCTACAAAACATTGTAAAGAATTTCACTGAGGTCCGGATGGATCCCAGGTGGGCAGCAAACGTTCACGCATACTTCGAGATAGTTTATCAAATAAATAACTAGTTATGATGAACGGCTGACGTCAGCGACATGTAGTACTAATCTTCACTAGAGCATATTGAGAGACGGGATTCGAACTTATGTTGTGTGTATATAATACTTAAATGAAATTAATTGGGGCTCAGGAGAACCCCAGGTGCGCGTGCCAGGATTACGGAAAAATATCATATTAGTTGAAGCTCTGACTTGTTTTCTCACTTTTTACTTGTGACATACGAAAAAATGTAAGAGCAGAAACTCTCGATCTACATTTGACTGCAGTTGATTCTTCGTCATTGTTTTCTTTCATTAGATCTGTGTCTGGATCCGTTTGCGAGTCCATTAATCTATCAAACTGGCACTTCTCCAGTTTCTATAACATTAGGTAGTTTTACTGACAGTAAACAACTAGATATCATAGTGGCCAACCAGCGAGATGGTGATGTTAGTGTGCTTCTTAACAGAGGAAATGGAATCTTTCAAACTGAAGTTAAATATGCTACTGGCCCTTTACCTATATCTGTGATATCAGGTGATTTCAACAAAGATAACAAACTGGACTTGGCAGTGACAAACCAAGGAGCAGACACTGTCACTCTGCTGTTTGGCTATGGTAATGGTACCTTTCAGTCTCAAGTGAACATTTGGGTTGGCACCTTTCCATATTTTCTGGCATCGGGTGATTGCAACGGTGACAGCAATCCAGATTTGATAGTTGTCAACGGTGCCGAGAATACTGTTAGCGTATTGCTTGGCAATGGAGACGGAACCTTTCAGACGCAAACCAAGTATGCGACTGGCCCAGCTCCAATTGCTGTGATATGCAGTGATTTCAACCATGATAATAATCTGGATATCGCATTGGTCAACATCGGTGGAACCACCGTCAGTGTGCTTCTTGGCCATGGCAATGGAACCTTTGACGATCAGAAGCAATATGAAAGCGGTATTAGTCCATATGCTTTGATGGCAGGTTATTTCAATGATGATGACACCCTGGATCTGGCGGTGGTCAATTCAGGTGAGAGTAATGTGGGTGTCCTGCTCGGCAATGGAGATGGTACCTTTCAAGCGCCAAAGACCTTTGCTGTTGGCGGCAGTCCGCAGTCTATGACATTAGGTGATTTCAACAATGATAAAAAGTTAGATGTGGCTGTGGCCAACTACGCTGAAAATAGTATTAGTGTACTGCTTGGTAATGGCGATGGAACTCTTCAGACTCAGACAAAGTATAATGTAGGCAGCACGCCATATGGCTCGATATCAGGTGATTTCAACAATGATAACAAAGTAGATCTGTTAGCGGCCAACCAAGGCGAAACCACTGTCAGTTTACTACTTGGTAATGGTGATGGAACATTCCAGACTCAAATCAAATATCCCACTGGCAACGGTCCAACCTCGATAGCATTAGGTGATTATAACAATGATAATCAAACGGATCTGGCCGTGGTTAACTACTTCGAATACACTGTCACAGTGCTTCTTGGCAAGTTCGATGGAACGTTTCATAGTCGAACTCGATATGCGACTGGCAGCAGCCCATCATCTGTAATTTCAAGTGATTTCAGCAATGATAAGGAGTGGTTCCAATATTATGCTATCGTCTAAACAGGCTTAGTGCATTCACGAAATACTTACTTGTAATGAATATGTGTGTTAGAAATCACTTGGATTATAATGCAGCCACTGCTAGTATTCTTGTCCGTTGGATATTCGCGTTGATGACCACTGGCGAACCTGTATTTGTACTTCGTGGTTCCGCAAGCGATTTTTGTGTACTCAGAAAGTGAGTACACTATAGAATCAGTCAGTGTGGCCGTCCGGCCGGCCGTTTACACGATAACTTTCGAAAGGAGAGTCTGATCATGACGAAATTTTCTATACAGTTTAGTCTTTACAATATCTCGGTCGAGTTCGAAGATGAGAAGGATCGGCCAGGCCGTTCCTGAGTTATTGCAAAAATACCCATTTTTCTCTATAGCTTCCCTATGAAAAGATCTACTCATCCCCACTTTCGTAAAAGACTTTTCCTATCATAGTCAACTAAAACCCCAACTACCATTCGATAGAGAATTTCAAGAGCTACAAAATGGTATATAAAACATAAAGAAACAAGAAGGTTGACTCACCTATGACAAAGATAATTAAAGAGAACTAGCTTATATTTTTGTCCACGATCTAATTGATCCACAAATAGAGCTCTATCTTCCGATCGCAGATATGATACTTCGAGGTTTTCTGAGATGGAGAACTCGAATCTGCATTCCGCTTCCATCGAAATACTATTGGTTGAGCAGTAACTAATAGAAATCAAGTTATAGGAAAAACGACTTTCTTAGGGTAAATCAAGGGGAAGAGTTCCAATTTGAGCTGTATTCAGTCCCAAGTCCTATTGGTTTGGCACTACCCAATAGAAATCAACAGTTTAGAGGGTAGGTTCCCCAGTATAATTTTGATGTTTACACATTCTAGGATGGCTAATTCATCTGATTCACTTTTTGAAGTACACATAATTCTCGGATTTAAATCCGAAGTTTCCGCATTTATTTATTAATGTAGACACATCGATCATTTTCTAAAAAACGATTCAAACAAGCAGTCGAATTTAAACGCTCATATCATTCAAAATACGCCAAAAATTCCGCCTCTTTTTGTTTGATTCGTGTCCTATCATCCACACCCTGGTAGACTAATACGAAGTTAGTATACGATCATATTTTGCCTCTACAAGGTAAGAATATTATTCCTTTGCCGTACATTACACCCACTTTTAATGTTAAGCTAGAACACGAAATTTTGTTACTTACAAGAAACTCTATCCAGGTGCCCAACTCCGATTCAGTTCATTCATATCTTATTCGGTAGAGTATAGTGAGGTGGTCAAAAGCTAAAAATATTATCGGCCACCAAGTCTTCCTCGAGCCGTTATAAGCATTTTCTGTCAAATCCAGCGAAAATAAGGAGAAATAAAACAATGTATAGCTTCCCACGAAAAAAGAAATTTCAAAAATTTGCGTTTGAACGCGTTTTTTCAGCTCACATATTTTCGCTAGACTTTAAACGCACTTTTTAAAACGCGTTGAAACGCGTATTTTTCCAGTAAAAACGCAAACAAGTAGTCCGAAAACATGTTCTTTACGATACGTTTTATTAGTATTTAACACATTTTTTTTGCATAATCTTAGTCGATCCTCTCTATAAGAATCGTCGACAACTCCCTGTCTGATTGCTAAATCATTGAGCAGCCCCTCAGAAATCAAACAAAAAACGACAAATCCCTCGGGCATCCACAGATGAGTTCTCTGGAGATCTCCGAAGGATTCCTAGTTTTATGCTTGACTTTTCAAGGATTCAGCAATCTGGCACGGACTTCCCGGGGATTCTTATAGAGAGGATCAACTATGGAAGTCTATTTCTATTCGCCTAACCTACCCTTGTATCTATCATTATACACGTATATTCTTACTTATTCCTATACTATTACACTTCTATCCTTATTCCTATGACCTTATTCCTATAGCCCTATACCTATAGCCTTACATCTATACCCTTATTCCTATATCCCCACACCTATAGCCTTACATCTATACTCTTATTCCTATAGCCTTGTACATATACTCTTATACCTACATTCTTATAGCTATAGCCTTATACCTATACTTATACCCTAATAAACATATTTACTCCGCACACTCTTACAACTATATTTCGATACTCATATGCTTATGCTAGGGCCGCTATAGCTATACTCTTAGACTTATACTCTATTAGATCAAGTTTCTCTAGATTTTTGTTTTTTTTCTAATAATAAATTTGATTTTTTTTTGGTGAAACCCAATTGTTCCGAGAAATATGTATATATCATTTATCTATATGAGCGCCATCTATCAGTTCATTTTGAACATTGTAAAGGAACGATTGAGATTCACCTAGAAGAATATTTTAATTGATAAACAGAAAAAAAAGATTTTTATGAAAAATTTTATCCAATGAAAATACTTTGGATGATTATGTGATCTGCGACCTGGTGAGTCTAACATAAAATGCACTATGACATACACAGCACTTTTATTCGAGGAATTTTTAACACAATATCCGACAATTTCTTCTATTTATTGATCTGAAAATTGTTTTGGGTGTAGCCCAACTTTTTCTGAGAAAAGCACGAATCAGAGAAATATGTGGTGCTATCTATAAAGATTGCTTACGCTTTTCTCAGGAAATATTGAGTTAAACCCAAGATGAATTTCAAGCTAATAAATAGAAACAAACAGTGCATATTCTATTAAACATTTATTCAATAAAAGTTGTGTGTATGTCAAAGTGCATTTTGTCATAGGTTCACTAAGCCACGGATCAACGTTGTCTTTTTTGATTTCACTACATTGTGAGATGACATTATAAGTTCAGCAATTAGAAACAAAGTAATATACGGAAAGGAAGCAT